TGTTCTGAATCAGAAGATATATTATGTTATTGCTTGGCTGCAAAACTCTCCGGCTCAATACCATTCATTAACAAGGTTATTTACTTCGTTCATATTATCACAATCCACCAAATACAAAACTTTTAATGTTATGGATCTGGTTTTTTAGAGGTGTTTATAGTTACAGAGAAGAAAAACTGGAGCGAGGAATCCAAAAGGTATTGTGTTTTATGATACATGTATCTGGCCATGGTAACAATGAGAGATCAACATGCAATACCCCATCGTAAGGGCCTATGACTCCATAAGACTTTGTGTTCTCTTCTTTAAGATGGCAACTATGAAATTCATTGATTACATTTGGAGAGTTCGATGATTCATTACCCTTATTACTTGGACTAATTTATCATGGCAAAGTATAATGACACCTTTTTATTATATCTGAGTTTGTTAATCTAAAACAGAGGTTGATGATAAATGAAACCCTTTGAACCGATCAAATGAACCACCTCCAAGTACATCAATGCAATGGTGTAGTTCATGTTTTTTCATCTTTCCTCTATAATGGAAAACTTTTGGGGCTTTGATGTCGAGTTTGCTAAGTATTAGTGTTGTATTTTGCCCAAAGCTGCAATGCATCGTTTTAATAGGCAGGAGAATTGCACTCTGGGATTTCATATATTAATTAATGGGAATGAGTCTATAATATAATCAAGATACCTTATATAAATTGGCAACGTTTAAAAAGGCTTAATCGGTTACCAAGGTTATGTGTTTTACCTTTGTGAGCAAAGCGTAAACCTCAAGGCGCTTTGAGGCGTAAGAGTCAAGACAAACTGTTAGAGATTATTTCTATAATAGGAAAGTAAATACATTGTGCCCTAATTTATAGGTTCTTATGTTAGGGATCTACCCTAAAATAGTATTAGTCTCTTGTATATATACACACAAGGATTCTATGAATGAGATACGTGAAATTACCTTTCCCTTCCTCTCGATACTAATTTATATGGTATCAGAGACACCACCGGTCTCCTTCTCCGCTGTCGTCGTCCAGCCCAGCTAGGGTTTCAGTCCCAAAACTTTCGGGATGTTCGACCTCATAGTACAAAACTTGATCCCAAATCTCTAAAGTGCCTCTTTCTTGGATATTCTCGTGTGCAAAAAGGGTATCGATGTTACTGTCCCAATCTTACCAGGTACCTTGTGTCTGCTGATGTTACATATCAAGAACAAACAC